TAAATAAATAAATAAATAAATAAAATATAAATTAAAATAGCTCCAACCTCCATTCTTGCTTTCTATCTCTAACCAAGTAACCCAAAATCTTTGTGATTTCCATGTTTAGTGTCTAACTATGAATTCCTCCATGGCAGGGTCTTTCAGTTCCAAACAGCAGTATAATACTGGCATATGGTAATAATGCAATCATTGTTTATAGAATTAAGATAATAAAAATATCACAAGACTTCCACAGTGCTCCCAAATAGCAATTTCATAGCTTTCAGAGGAATGGAGACACCTGGTTTCAGTTTTTTAATATAATAAATTGGTGAATTCACTGGCCATTTGGATTCTAGCAATATCAGATCTGCATTAAAAATAAACATAAATGTCTGTTCCCTGAGCCATATTAAAAATAATTTAAAGGAAAAAGCAAGTTCTAACTGGAAAAAATTATTTTAAAATGTTAATATATAGATAACATATTACTTTAAGATATATGGAGATAAATATGCTAAGCTTCTATAGTTTGGAGAACTATGGATAAGTGGAAATTGAGATTGAGAGTCACACTAATCTGCCCTGAAATAAATGTCACATTTCTGTCTGTCAATGCTCATCAGACTTGTGTACTACTACAGTACCTGTAAACTAAAATGTTACATATAAAATAGTCAAATATTTGGTCTTCATTTACTCAAACATTTATTAAGTGCCTATAACATGCCAAACAGTAGGAGGGCTGTGGACAAAAGGATGAAAACACGCCCCATAGCCTTAAAGAGTTCTCAATCTAACAGGGAAAGCATCTTACAAAACAAAGCAGAAAAGCAAGTTGTTATTCACACATTTGGGTAAATTAGTATCTGTTCTGAGTGAATCCAACCTTTTAATTTTTTGAATTCCCTATCAAACCCAATAGAGGGAAGTCCACACTAATAAAACTTCCCCTGGAAATTATTTGCAAAATGGATCACTTTGGCCAAATTAGCAGGGCGGAAATGGTTAATTCTCTGACCGAGGACTTGCATTTCGAGTTTTAACCTGGACTGAATGTATAATGAAAAGCGAATGGTCCATTACGGAAATGTTGACAGACTTACACCACCAGTGGATGCAACTACAACTTTGCATTTATTGAAGATTAATGAAGTCCCTGAATTTTTACTTATAAAATGGATATTATTTAGATTATTTCTGCAAGCCAAAGGTCAGAATTTAATAAGATGATGTATACAGATTGCACCGATTTTTACTCTTATCCACTGCTTGCAGACTATGTGCATTTAAACCAAAAAACATTTGATATACACTAACTATAAATTATTTCCTTGGAGATCTCTCAGGCATGAAGAGAAAGCCTCTTAAAATAAATTTAAAATATTATATGCTTGATGGTGTATAACCAAAGGTTTAATCTCACCACTAAAGGGGCAGTTACCATGATTTTGCAATAACCCTGCAGACAATAATCAAGACAGCTCCTGTTGTTCTCTCAGTAAAATCTTCGTAAACACAGCACGGATATACTGTAATTTGATATCTGTAAGATCAACAGCTATACCTCATGACAACTCGTATTATAAGATTTTATTCACCATTAAATTGAACATTTTCCTCAGAAGACACAGGAAAGTGTGTTATTTACCAAGCATCGTCCTATTAACTATAGATTAGCACATTAAAATAGAC